AATTAAACTCATTGAATGCTAGTGGAGTTTTGTCAATACAAACTATAGTGCTTGTCGACCAAGCCAGATAATATGCGCACAATAGTTGAATTACACACCTTGTTATCAAGGCCGGGCAAGACACGAATAATTTGACAGACGGGGAACGCAACACAGAGTGACTTTATATTGGAGTTAGCAGCGCACGGTGCTCGAACACTGCACACTCGTTACACAAAATATGGATTATTTGTTCATTCCGTATATATAAAGGGTTGTTTCTATGGGTCGTTGGCGTCGAATGTGACATTAACTCAACATACAATTTATACTTTATTACGGCCGGGGACACCAGAAATCGGCTTCACACATTGTACCCATGTCGGGAATCGAACGCTTTAACCACGAGGCTACCCGACCGCCCCGACTTTACAGAGGTAGAGGCCCCAGTAAAGATCCGCGTAAGAATTGATGTTCATCAATCCACGATCATCGTACGAGCCACTAACGTGATAGGGGCATCGGATCCCTATTGCGTAGATCGATGCTTATAATGTCAATCACTGGACCGTCTGGTCCAGGCTCGATTATTTATGGCTGGAATATTGCTGAGCGCGGCGTTAAAAAGTAAATAAAATAACTGTAGGCAGTTGCATGCAAAAACCTTTTTTTACCAGGACAACACAGAGTGCTTAGCCCCATCTAGGCTGCAGGCAATGCTTTCTTTCTCTCTCGTGTGGTAGTGGTAGCGCGTCTGCCCGGAGACCGGAATGCTGGTGATACGATCCCCAGCCGCGTCATACCAAAACGACGTTTTACCCTGTCTGGGTAAAACAAGGACTGGTCGGCTCGGAGTCGGTATACTGTGTCTGAGTGGGTATCCATGTTAAACTGTGGCATGGTATCTCAGTGGATTAGCACTATGAAATGGGCATCAGTTCGGACTAGTACAAGCAGTCACGAACGAACGCACGCACGCACGCACATCGCTGTAAAAGTGCAATAATCTTGAACGCGATGTAAACAAGCCATTTGACCTTGTTACAGCTGCGGCACGGTATCTCAGTGATCTGACAATATAAAATTGGTATACGCCCAGACTTGTACCAACACAAACACACACACACACACACACACACACACACACACACACACACACACACACACACACACACACACACACACACACACACACAAACACACACGCACAAACACGCACACACGCACGCACGCACGCACGCACGCGCGCGCGTGAGTGCACGTAGCTTAATAAGTGCAATAATCTTGTTAAATCCCATTTCACCTCACCTCAACCCTCTCTCTGTAGCAAAGTGCATGTGCTCAAAGTAAGATGACGAGTATTAAGCAATTAAAATAAACCAAATTCATAATGAGTGAATGAGTAAGTTTTACGCCGCTTTTAGCAATATTCCAGCAATATCGCGGCGGGGGACACCAGAAATGGGCTTCACACATTGTACCCATGTCGGGAATCGAACCCGGGTCTTCGGCGTGACGAGCGAACGCTTTAACCACTAGGCTACCCGACCGCCCCTAAATTCATAATGAAGAACGACACAGATACACAGCTCGGGTAGCTGACAGGAGCTGTAACACTAAATGGAGATTTTGGATGGACAATTTGCACGCACATCTGAGCATCTTCTTGTAATTAATTACAATCATGTCATAACATGTTATTCAAATGTCGTTTATATGAATATATAAGTCGTCTCTTTATGAAGTACTGGATTTCTGACACGGATGTTCAGAATCATCACTATTTGATAGTGATTCATACACACATGCTCATGATATAGTGGAATCGTACAATCGATTCTGCTTTTAGACAAACTTTGTCAGTAAAGCAGCTCTCACACTTAGCCGAGGTGGTTGCCGAGCTCTCCCGAGCCTAACTCGGTTAGGACTCGGGAAGAGACTACATATATACGAGTATCATACGAGTACGCTACGAGTGTGTTACGAGCCCCATAGGAGCCCAATAGGAGTCCAATAGCAGTCTAATAGGAGTCTATTAAGAGTTGCATACGAGCACAACGATCCAATAGAACTATGAAGTGCAAAGTCACCAAACACTGGGTGGACTAACTCCATGTACCTCCTCTCACACTCAAGAGCAGTGTTTCGCTAGAATGAATCATATTAAGAGACTGATATACACCCAACCTGTCACGTGTAAGGTAACCAAATGCAATGTCGCTTTGGTGAAATATTTCTATGCGACATTTATTACTGTCATGGCAGGTACAACGTATCCGAACCATTAAACGCTAAATGACGGTAAAAACCATGTGCTCCAAGCTCTCTTGCACTATATGGAAGTATGTACCAGCTGTTCCCATGTTTGTTCAGGTAAACAGTTGACTTGCCTTTGCATGTGTTTGTGATGGGTGCCTGCGATGGTGCAGGATACGCTCACCTATTCGCGAACACCTGGTATCATCACTATTGGATGGTGATTATTAAAACATATGCTAATGATATAGTCGGAATCGTACAATGGACTTTTGGTAGCGATTTCTCATGAATATGGAAATGTTTTTGTCGCATTTATTTAGTCAAGGACAAGGCAATAATCTAGCGTCTGTACACATAATTAAAACGGGCAAAACTAGCGTGAAAATGAAGTGACGATGGCAATTGTTCCAAATGAATTCTTATTATGTTCTACAAACAAGAGGTCGTTGCAATGTGATACGGAAGATATGACGAGGCGAGATGTAGAAGAGTCATTTCACAACCATATCGTTGGATCTTCCCATCTGCCCCCATAATATGATTTGAAAAAGCCTAGGAACCTTTTGGGTGGTATTTGTATTGCGTGCAATCGTTGTTTGATATTACGTGATGAGGAGAAAGTGGTTATGACGTCGACCTCTTGAAATTGGTTATGAGGTTGGGTGAAATTGGGTTTAACGTCGCGTCCAAGATTATTGCACTTATATAGCGACGTGCATTCACGTGTGTGTGGCTGCTTGTACTCGTCCGGACTGATGCCGATTTATTGTACTAGCCCACTGAGATACCATGCCGCAGTTTAACATGAATACCCCACTCAGACACAGTATACTGACTCCGAGCCGACCAGTCCTTGTTTTAGCCCCTTGCAATAATTTTGAACGCGATGTAAACAAGCCATTTGACCTTGTTACAGCTGCGGCACGGTATCTCAGTGATCTGTATGTGTATTGCGTGCAATCGTTGTTTGATATTACGTATTGTCAGGTCAAAGAAAAGAGGCCTTTAAAAGTACATGTTTGTATAGATTGTACATCAAAACTCCACGTTTCTAGTCTATTTTACCTAAGCCCCAGATGCGGACGACAACGGATAATCTCAGACAGACCTAACACACACCTATAGTTGGTGTTTGACTGCATCACGAAAAGGTTTGAACAGTTTGAGCCACGTGCAATGACAAACACAGAATTAATGCTATTTTATATTGATCCAAAAGACAATAATATTAAATAATATGGAATTATATCAAATAGACTTGCAATTAGCAAATATACCACTGCCAAAACTGAACAGTTGGGTCTTAACAAATGTACTAACACTACGTGTGCAAACAAAGCACAGAGAGGCACAGCTTTACAGTGTCATGTCGCGTCACACAAACAGCACGGTCATATACTCTCTTGACCAATTAGCTTATATACAGGAGTCTTCTGGCATATTCGATTGTAGATTACAAGTAACAATATTAAATTTATGTATATTCACAAATATCAACCATTAAGTATGTACAATAAATTGTCTAGGCTACATTAATTTTGTTTCTTGTTGTTTAACGCCCCCCTCAGCATTATCGCAGCTGTGTGACTGCGGTCTGCAAATAGTTGAGTCTGTACCAAACATTCCAGTAATTGACAGTGAGTGAGTGAGTTTGGTTTAACGCCGCTTTAAACAGTATTCCAGTTATATCACGGCGTGTCAGCTTACTGTGGGAGGAAAGCCCGAAGTAATGCAGGTCTCAGACGTTTACCATTTCGGTGAAACCCACGATCACGGTTGTGGTGCTGACAAACCTAGAAACATAATCGTGGCGAACTGGGATTCGAACCCACAATCATAGGTTTCTGGCGTGCCCAAGGGACGCAACTCTGCACAGCGAATCGCGGCGCCTTAGACGACTGGGCCACCCGTGCCCCCCAGTAATTGACAACATGAGCATCGACCTATGCAGTTGGGATACGATTTCATGCATCAACTAAGTCAGCGAGTCGTTTGTCGCCGGAGCTTCGCAGGGAACTTCACTAAATACTGGCTATCTTGATATATAATTGGCCACGTGATGAGGAGAAAGTGGTTATGACGTCGACCTCTTGTAATTGGTTATGAGGTGGGGTGAAATTGGGTTTAACGTCGCGTCCAAGATTATTGCACTTATATAGCGACGTGCATTCACGTGTGTGTGGCTGCTTGTACTAGTCCGGACTGATGCCGATTTATAGTACTAGCCCACTGAGATACCAAGCCGCAGTTTAACATGAATACCCCACTCAGACACAGTATACTGACTCCGAGCCGACCAGTCCTTGTTTTAGCCCCTTAATGCCGAGCGCCAGACAGGGTAACTACAAGTACCATCTTTTAACGTCTTTTGGTATGACGCGGCCGGGATCGAACCCCGGACCTTCCGCTCTCCGGGCGGACGCTCTACCACTAGACCACGGAGGCGGTCCTCTCTGTTATGAACTTAAAATAGCATGTTAAATACACTCAAGATAATATCAACGTCACATAAACATAAACATTTACTGATAAATACCCTCAACAATAGTAGACGTAGTATTCACATGACATGTTCTCAGCAACAGTGTGCGCACGAGCCCTTTATCTGTTATGAAAATAATCAATATCGAGGTTGTATATGCTGTTAATGTCAAATATATTGCTGCGATGTATAATAGCATCATACGAAGCAAATAATAATAATACAAATAACCAATAGTCGTTGAATAACTACACGTATATGTAGAATATATTAATCGATGCATACACCGACACACATGCAACAAATGCCAACCTAACAGTTACTAATACTTGCAAGGATACAGGTTTCAATAAGTAAAGACACTGCAACCACTGATGGACTATAATCAAAGGTAAGATAAGAATAGTGCTGTATTTTTCAATGTTTTAAATTCACCGCCAAATGTATTTAAACATGAAAACAATCGAGGCAGTTGATCCCACACGTTTGTGTGCCTCATATGGGCGAAGCTGGGACCGCCCTTATTTTCTTTGAAGGCAACTCGAAGAGTGTCTATTAAAAGTTGAATTGTCTTCATCGCTAGATGTCTTTTTTTCTGCTCAGGGCACTGTTCTTATCTAAAGTGTCCAACAAGTTTTTTACATGCTTATCTTATTCAATATTAATAGCAGACCATGTTGGTTTGCCTAAGCTAGTCTTACTTACATTAACATACACAATCATGATAGAAAGAATTTGAAAGAGAAACACGATTTCAATGTACAAATTATACACTTACACTTAGATATCAAAGCACTGTCATCTTCAACTTGTGTACATTATATAAGAATATATATTCCCAAAGTAAATCCTACTTGACATAAGGATTTTTTTTATAAAACAAAACAGATGTAGTGTTAATTTTTCTCTGCCAATAACTCAACAGTAACACCGTTTGTAACAGATTATATACATCCATACATAGAACATAGAACAATATATTCAATACACAACATTTACTACCTTTGAGACCGTATATAATAAAAGGTAAGGTATATCTGTATTTAAAACGTAACCTCTTGCCCAGAAGTTGTTTGATCAAGGTTACAACATTCAAGGCCTCAGTGAAGCTTTCAAAAAGTTGTACGGTAGACATGTGAAGGACATTTCCAAATATGGCGCCTCACGGGCCAAAATTATGTCCGATGCTATTCCCTATTTTGACTGGTACTATATTTTCCCGGTTTTGTTTTTTCAAGTGAACAATTGACTGGCTCTGCGTGTGTTTGTGACTGTTGTCACTATTTTGGGCAGGATACTGTCATTTTCACGCTGAACCTGTGGTACCATCATTATTTGATAGTGATTCGTAAACTCATGCTTATGATACGAGCGCCGGTCAAAACGTCATAAGCCTGACTAACTTCCCACTATTGGACATAACAAGTGGACTAGTCAATGTAGTTCATTGTTTGAGAAGTTCACTGCAAGTGCATTTGGTCTGTTGAGGCCGTGTGTATATCAGTTGACAGCCAGTTGAACGTGATAGGGGTGTTTGAATGGAACCAGAAATGGAAAAGTACGAATATCGAGCAGTTATCAAGTTTTTGACTTAAGAGAAAATTACTCCCGAAGAAATTCATGACGGCATGTCACAAGTGTTGGGGTATAAGTGCTCTAGCTATTCCACTGTGGGGCAGCTATGCTTAAGGCCGGGAGAACGAGCCTTGATGATGACCCTCTGGATGACCCTCTCTGGACGTCCCTCAACTTCCATCAAAGAAGATCCAATCAAGGAGCTAGAAAAACGTATGCTGCCAGATAGACGTATTGCCATTGCTTAACTTGATGAAGACACGGGTCTAAGCCATGCATCCATTGAACCCATTATTTACAGATGAATAAAATATCTCCTCAATGGGCGCATAAGTTTCTAAATTCTGATCTTAAAGAAGAAAGAACTGACATTGCCAGAGAAACTTTAGAGCTAATTGAGGAGGTGCCTACTATGCTGATTTGTTTCATCAACTAACTGCTAGAGTCTCTCGACTTGCTTCTGTGCGAAAATGTGGGTGCCTTCCTGGCACTAAGTGATTTCAACCTGTTGCCTCTGCTGAACATCTTCGTGGAAAGCGCTATGACGACAACGATGATCTCAAAGTGCCGTGAATGGGTTTTTCAGGGTGGCTTTAGAAATTAGGAATTTAAAATCTTTACTATCGATATAAGAAGTGTATTGAAAAGCAGGGAGGTTATGTTGAAAGATAAAATTAAAAACACTTTCACAGATGTTGGTTTCGTTTGTTAGGTTTAGAGCTTTTTGACCAGCCCTCGTATAGCCGGAATCGTAGAATGGATTTCTTATGATTATGGAACAATTGAATTGCCTTTACATGTGTTTGTGAATGGTGCAACAGGTTGGGCAGGATATGCACACTTTTTCGCGAACACCTAGTATCATCACTATTTGGGGATGATTCATAAACACATGCTCATGGTATACTGGGAATCGTATAATCGACTCTGCTTTTGGCTGAGATTTCTTATGAATATGGAGAAGATTTTGTCGGTTTCAATACTATCATTGTTGAAAGTGTTTTGTCTCATTCATGTCAGCATACAAGGGAGTCTGCCTCTCAGTAGGTTGGCTTTCAGCTGTCATTGGGTTTATGAAGACGTTGCATAATGAGAAAGTACTATAGACACTTTGGGTTCCAATCAAGGCGACCCGTGAAGATCCGGGGTAGAATAGGTCTTCAACAACCCATGATTGCAGTAAAAAGCGACTATGCTTGTCGTAAGAGGTGACTTACGGGATCGGGTGGTCAGGCTCGCTGACTTGGTTGATGCATGTCATCGATCCTAATGGCGTGGATCGATGCTTGTGATATTAATCACTGGGTTGTCTGGTCCAGACGCGATTATTTACAGACCGCCGTCATATAGCTGGAATATTGCTGAGTGCGGCGTAAAACAACAAACCAACTAACCAATCCAATTAAGGCTAAATTATCATATATTCACCGACAAAAGAAACGCGAATACCATACATGTTGGTTGATATATGACGAATTACACATATTTAAGAGATTTTAGATTTGTTCGGCGCCCAAACGAACACACTGGTATTTTGTGTGAATCGACGCTGATGTCTCCTTTGGAACATACATTAATTGGTATTGTGTCAAAAGATAAATGTTTGTGGATTACATTGTTCGAAACAGGTGTTTAGATAACAAACACTGTCGCTTTAACATTATATAGATTGGTAACTTATAATGAGTAATTAATCATGAATTTTTACAATAAAAACAATATTAAATATTTCGGAAATCATTGTTCAGTTTCAACTTGGCGGCTTTTACGTAACCTAGCTGAGATAAACTGCAGTATACAATTATGCTAAAATAGTTTCTTTAGAAACAAATAATTTCCCACTACCAGGTCTCAATTTCTCAACATCATAGAAACAGGATCTGGAGAAACGTGTCGTTCTCCAACTGAGCAGATGTCCTTTACTCTATGTGTTAGACTTGAAATGTTGCATTTTCTTCTTTGCAGTGGATGCATTGGAGTCAAATACAGACAGAAATGGTGATACATTTTATTTTGATTATCATCAGTGTAAAAGGTGAGGCTTTACAACTACAGTTTACTTATTACTGAATATGTGAATCTAATTAATATCTACTCAACAACAAAAGTTCCTGTGACACCAATATTTTAGTGTATTTTTCAAACAAGTAAAGTTTGGTTTTCAATATTGTAGTATATGTATGGTCACAAAATCGCAACTGCCACAGAAAAGCATGCATTCCATGCAAAGGTTTACTTTTACGCAAGCCCAATGCATTTCACAACCCAAGAATGATTATAAAAACATGTGCGTTAACCAATCTCATTAAAATCAGATCTTAGTTCTCGCTACCGCTAAACAAAGATCTGAGGACATCCCATTACGGGTCACGTCAGACCGACCTTGCGCGAACTTTGACCGACCAATGGAATGACCAATCATAAGGCAGCTTTCTCGTGCTTTAAGGCACAAATTTCAAATTGAAGACTACGCTTCGAAACATATTTTGACAAATTCTCGATTACAAGTTTGAAACCTGAACAAAAAAACATTCTGGAATGGTCTAGATTGTAAGGATTCAGTCGTTAAACCCGAAACTATCATTCGGAATACCCCATGTTAAAGTTTTCGAGATTACATGATTAGAAATCACATTCCGACTGTAACTTTCATATGAAAGGATGAAAGGTCGCTCTGACGTGACCCCTAATGGGATGTCTTCAGATCTTTGTTTAGCGGTAGCGAGAACTAAGATCTGGTTTTAATGAGATTGGTGCGTTAACGGGATTCCATATGCATTGTTTAGCATCGTGCTGACAACAACCACTCAGAAAATCAACAAAACTACGCAATTATTCAACATTACGAAATGCCGCGCCTGTCCGAAAATGAGCGTTTGCGAGCCATTGGTATGCTTGAAGCAGGATCGAGTCAACGTGATGTAGCAAGACAATTTAACGTCCACAGAAACACCATTTGGTGTTTATGGCAACGTTGGCAACAGACGAATGCAGTCAGAGACCATCCTCGGAGCGGCAGCCCACGCGTAACCAATAATCGACGAGACAACTGGATTCGAACAACACACCTACGAAATCGATTCCAGCCAGCAACAGTGACTGCAATAAGCATCCCTGGCCTTCGACGAATATCTTGACAAACCGTACGTCGCCGCCTCAGATGTGCTGGGATTGTCGCCAGAAGACCCGACAGACGTCCCATTTTGACAGGAAACCAGCGTCATGCACGTCTACAGTGGTGCAGACAGCGTCTACTTGGGGACAAGTTCTATTCACTGACGAGTCTCGTTTTCACCTCAGCCACAGCGACGGACGGATTCGAGTGTATCGAAGTCGAGGTGAACGTTACGTAAATAATTGTGTCATGGAACAAGATCGGTTCGGGGGCAGCAGCGTTATGGTATGGGGTGGGATTACAGCCAGACAGAAGACCCGTTTGATAGTGGTAGAGAGAAATCTCAATGGACAGCGGTACCGCGACGAGATCATCGGCCCTGTTGTTCTACCGTTTTTGCGTCGTCATAGCCCAGGCATTACCTTTCAACATGACAACGCACATGTGGGATGAGATTGATCGGCGCCTTCGACGTCAACCACGTGTTCCACAGACACTCCAGGAACTTCGAAACATGCTCCAGCAGATATGGACAGATATCCCACAGGACTTTGTGCGACGCCTGATCTATTCCATGAGACGAAGATGTGTTGCTTGCATCGCAACCAGAGGTGGATACACACGCTATTGATTTGTAGATTGACATTTTGGCATGTTCATGTTTTTTTTATGAAATTACGCATTTTCTGAAGTCAGTATGGCAAATTAAAACATTTGAACACTTACAGGAGTCTTTTTTCTGTTGCAAACCAAAAATTGTTTCAGATTTGGTAAAAAACATAACTTTGTATTAAATCTTATTCAATGTCACAGGAACTTTTGTTGTTCGGTATACCTTGCACATTTACTTGGTTTTTATGAGCCGCACTTCGCTACATGCGAGTATGGGTGTCTGGTGTTCATCTACGATTTGTCTTCCAAACGGGCAAGACGAATAATTAATTTATTGATGTCCAACTGACCTTCGCCAAAGAGGTTTATCTACTTGAAGTGTTCTTTTCGGAAATCGATTATGTCTAGTGCTATAAGTACATTGCTAATTCCGATTACCAATTGTCATGAGGTTATATCAGCTGTCACCTGTGGATAAACAGTCATAGAAGACAAGTCATCGTTTCTTGATCATTATACTTATTAGTATATATGCAATTGTTATAGGTAATTAATTCTTATTAAACACTTTGTATTGCAGAGTTGCATGCTGAAGAAAAATGTCCAGATGGTAAATTTGGAAAGAAATGTGAGACAAACTGTTCCGAGCAGTGTGCACCTATACCCAATTCTACAAACATCCACTGCTTTCGCGGCACAGGGGAGTGCTCGGAGGGTTGCCTTCGAGGCTGGTACGGGTGGACTTGCAACAACAGGTGTGGGGGTAACTGCGTTGGTGACATCTGTAATCAACACAATGGACATTGTACAAAGTCCTGTAGGAACAACTACTCGGGCAACTTTTGTGACGTTTCATATGAAACAGAACAAGGTATGATTATTACATCTCATTACAGATATAATGCAAGATAACAGAGTTCGGGGAAGTTATTATGTATTTAACAACGATTTAATATATATATCACAAGATAAGTTTGATCTTGCGCATCAACGCGACGCGAAGCATACCATTGCAGCATACCTTTCTATCGACGCAAGTACCTGTTGTACATTTGTTACTCAGAATGTGACACAAATTGTAATTTATTGAAGATATATCGACAGAGAAAGTGGAAGCTGACATGTATTCATCTTCCCGAGGCAAGAGAGTTAACTGACTTTAAAAGTACAGTTTCCACCCTTGCCGAACTAGGCTGGAATTACTGGGCTCGATCGTAGCGCCACCAGTGGCTATTACCAGTTATGTCCCTTCTCAGCCTCTCCTATGGACCAATCAGATTCCACCTCTCGTATCACTTGCGTTGGCTTCACACACAAATGGTGGCGCCCGGTCAGGACGATCTGATCAATAATCAAGATCTTTGTTGTGATAAAACGGGTCTTACATTGCGAAATGCATCAAATCAAGTGAGCACCTTGATTAAAAACATGAAAAGATGTGGAAAATATCTGCTGACAACGAGTTGGCGGTGCACATGCTTTGCAAATCCTGCAATCGACCGAAATTTGCACGACAGTTTACGAACCGGATTTCGATTTCGGTGCGCGATTTTGATTGGACTATGCATAGATTCGTTAGTCCAGCCAAAATGTAACTCCATAATACCAGCCAAGTTCGGCAAGGGTGAAAACTTGACTTTTATAGTCAGTTAACTCTCTTGCCTCGGGAAGATGACCTGTATTTAACAAGGATATGTTGGTAAAACAAACGTGGATGTCCTATAAACGTTGAAGTTGAATACCCATAATTAGCTGATTTTCGATCATCCTTTAGTGTGAAACATTCAGCCAATGGGTGGATTGACAATGCAGTGATATTTTGGTTACCCTACCAGTGCCAGTCGTGGCATTTACCATCCGTGTATTTATATATCCTGGTGGAAGTAAAACTATGAACGGAAAATAAATTAACCTGACGACGATTTTGACCATCTGCATCGATATGTTTAAATCTTGACAGTATTAATGCCATGAAGACATATAGGTTCTACCAAGATTTTGACACGCGACTTTAGCTCAAAGGATGTTTTATCAGAATTAAAGGCATTTCAAAGCTTTCACAAGGTTAAAAATGATGGAGCACGTTTAATTCCGTATTTGACGCATAAGTGACACAAATTATGCCCAATGCATTTCCTTACTTTGACTTGAACCATGTCCCCCTGTTTGTTCAGGTAAACATTTGACAAGTATTTGTATTTATGTGTGACGGGTACTGCAGAATAAAACCGGGTATCATGTCTATTGATAGTGATTCATAAATACATGCTTATTATATAGTCTGATTAAATTTTGATTAAGGAAATGGTTTTGCCGCTATTATATATGCATGTGTGCCTGTATGTGATTTATGGTATCATAGATTATCTTCCATATTGTATTTAAATACTTGGTGATAGATAGATGGAGGGATCGATGGAACTATAAACTGTTCACATAAAATTGAATATAACCATTGCGTAATACTCCAACACATAGTTTTAATATACATTTTACAGCTTCGACTCATGGATATGTAATAAGTGTAATTGTCGTCACCGTCCTTGCAATCCTCGTTGGAGTCGCTGTTTGTGTGAAGTGGTGAGTTTTTTTAAAAAACAATAAAATATTCTTTCGTGGATGATCATAAGGAAGATTTTCAACGCTTGCTGTGACCTAATCAGTCAGCTGCAGTTTTTCTATCTCAAGAAATTCGAGGTAACTTCATATTACGACGAACTTCAGGAAAAACGTCTTTCGATGATCAGTGGGGTTCTTTGTCACAACCTGTGGTCGTGACAATAGATATACTAACATAAACTAGTGGCCAAAAGAAACGATACCAACTTATTTTCAAAATTGTTTTTTACTAAGTGAATTGTCAAGTATGAAAACATGCCAATTCGTATTGCACATCCCAAACACAGCATAGTCGATAAAAAATACCGGGAACACGTGATCACTTCCGGGAAAAAACGTAAATTTCGTGAAAGTGACATTTCCCTCTCTAGCATGTTCTGCACGTGCAGAAAAACTGTATAAAACGGCTGATCAGACACGTTGATATCACTGCAACAAAAAGAACACAAGATATGCCACGTTTGACAGCCATCGAGAGAGAGAGAGCCGTTGGAATGGTCCAACAAGGAGCGTCACACGTCGACGTCGCCAGAAGGTTGGGCTCCGCACGCATCACTATCACCAGGTTGATGCAGCGGTTACGTCAGACAGGTCAGACGTCAGTCAGGCCCAGGAGTGGAAGACCACGAGTAACCACGCCCCGTGAAGATCGTTACATCCGGGTATTACACCTGAGGAACCGCACCGTAACAGCGACGTCCACGGCGGCTACAGCACTGGGACACAGGATCAGTCGACAGACCGTCTACAGGAGACTACGGCAGTATGGTATCCGGCCACGTCATCCCTACCGCGGACCGCTCCTGACGCCTCGACACCGGAACAACAGACTGATCTGGGCCAGGCGAGTTCGACGTTGGCAATGGCGGGACTGGGCACGTGTTATGTTCTCTGATGAGAGCAGATTCCTCATCTTCAGAAACGATGGACGGCAGCTTGTATACCGACGATTTGGTGAACGTTTGGCGCCTAACTGTATCCAACAGGTCCGGCCGTTTGGAGGTGGAGGGTTAATGGTTTGGGGTGGCATATGTGGTGACGTCAAAACGATGCTTGTCGTAATTCGTCGAAACCTGAATGCACAGCGTTATCTTGATGACTTCCTACGGCCTGTTGTGGTGCCCTTTATTCAGCAACAGCCTCGTGGACTCCTTTTCCAACATGACAATGCAAGGCCACACACAGCAAGATTGAAAAAGAACTTCCTTGCCAACGCCAACGTACAGGTTTTGCCATGGCCCGCATGTTCACCGGACATGAATCCCATCGAGCACTTATGGGACCACCTCGATCGGCAAATCCGACGTCGCCGTGTGCCTCCAGTCAACGTCCAGGACTTGGAACGATGTCTCCTCGAGGAATGGCAACGCATCACTCCCAACGTCATCAGACGTTTGACGTCATCAGTCCGTAGGCGTGTTCTGGCATGTATTGATGCTCACGGTGGACATACCCGCTACTGACTTGACTTTGAGACGTGTGGTGTGACATTTCCCGTTGTTTCTGTGATCAGTGCTCTAACGAAATGTTCATTTTTCGACCCCACCCATCTTTAAAGGCTTGTCATATTGGTTGTACAGATTTTATTGAAATGAAATTTTTGTACAGATGTTGTGAAAGGATTTCTCAAAAGCATAACACCAATCTTAAACTTCTGCATTGTTTAGTTTTTCTTTTATGTCGTTGCAAACAGGTGGTATCGTTTCTTTTGGACACTAGTTTCTTGTCTTAATGACAATTTGTCAAAAATTGAAATCAAATTTCATCTGAAGTTTACTAAGAGACAATATGTGAAATGCTGGCCTTCCTCATATAAGCATCTATGAGACATACATGGATAAGAAATTTAGGCAAAACCAATTGTGCTAACCTCCTGCTGATCTGTTCCTTAATGATAATGATTCGGGAATTATGCTTGCAACACGTGTACCTTAAGTTTCAGGTATATGGATGATCTGATATTGTTAATTAATAGTCAAATAGCCAATTCCCTGCCACTGATTAACCAAGCGGTACAAGATATATAAGTGACCAGTGAAACCGCCTCATCAGTTTCACAGATGCAGGTAAATGGCAACAGGCTATCACACGACTCTATGACAAGAGGGGTGTCTTCCGATTTCAAATAGTCAACTTTCAATTTATGTCGACTAATATTCCAGCAGTTCCAGTCTTTGATGTTTATATATCTATAAATTACGAAAATATGCATATCTTGCAGAGTATTGTTTCACAAATGTTTGTATCATTTCTCTGTTGCCATCTCTGCAAAACTGTGTAATCATTAATTACTTTCGTTGTTACTTTTACATTTTGTTGTTGCACAAATTTGTATTGTGTTGAATTATTGAGGAAACAAAGTGATACATTTAAGCAAATAAAGGGTGTTTACGTGATTATATTATGAACACTTTTTAGTACATCCCGGGCACGCAGTACCAATGGGGCGACGGATGCAACAAGTAAGTTGAGCAATATTCTTTTAAAATGGCATTAATTAAATTAAAGATTGTGCCTGGACACTGTTGCTGTTGGGCATTCAAACAGATAGGATGACTTACGAGCTTACAAAACGTCCAGCTGGACATGTTCCTGGACTTTCAGCACTCTATACGTCAGAAGATTTCTAAGGATTTTTCACGTACCTCAAGAGTTTCCGACGCCTCTATTCAGCCACCTCTGTGGAGGAGTCCAAAAGTATAATGGACGGCGGACGGACAGATCAGAATACATATCACGCACTATTCCCTTGGCTCATTTCGATCAGTCGTCATTTTTAGCAACAGTTGCAATGACTAGCAATGAATTATCAGATGTGTGCATGTGTCAGTTGTTGAATAGAATTTACTGTATGTCACGAGGTGCTTCGAGTAGCGGTGTCGTCTGTAAAAAACAACTCCTCAGAAGCCACTGGACAATGAAGCTGAAATTGCACATGCACTCATCTATATGATGAATCAAATATTGTTCAAGGGGTTCGATTCCAATTTTCAATATAAAGTCAAAGCAGCTATATTAAAAGAAAACAGTTATGGTCACTGCTTAAAATGAAATGTTATGCCATATTATTCTCTCACAATACATGTACATCTTCTCTGAACGTTCCAGATTAAGCAAGCTGAACTTTGCCATGTATTTGTTTCTTGTTGGTGATATCATACTTTGTTCAAACAATTTTAGTGAAACAAATGGAAACATTGTTCGGCATTTGATAAACATGAGTCATCAGGAAATGACATATATCCCGGTCTGATGCAATTCGGAAGTCGAGTTTGGCTACTTATACCCTGCTTTTGTTTCAATGCCATTGGATACCTTCAGATAAGGGAAGACAAAATGATGCTGTTCAGTATTTTTCAATATCTCCAATCCACAGGCCCCTGAAGCAGGATAGTGATATAACTGAAACACTGGACCCATATATATAAATAGACAAGGTACGTCACTCGCCATCTTGGCCGAAGTTGAAATCGGCTGTATCGTTTAAATTAAATAGAAATGTGTGCATGTCATGTTCACAATACCTCCACACCTCCCTCCAAATACGACCTGCATGCCACAAAACTTTATTTTTGGCAATTTATTACCCATATCGGGCGATTTTATCGACATATTGGCTAAGTCGCGGTTGTGGGTCACGGAAGTATACAAAAATCTCCGCGCTCAATGGCCTCGAGCGCTCTGATTGGTAAATATCCCCATGTGCGTTTGTTATGGTTGGAGCGCGGACCAATCACAGCACTCGACGCCATTGAGCGCGGAGATTATTTGTTTACTTCCGTGACCCACAGCCGCGACTTAGCCAATATGTCGATAAAATCGCCCGATATAGGTAATAAATTGCCAAAATAAAGTTTTGTGGCATGCAGGTCGTATTTGGAGGGAGGTGTGGAGGTATTGTGAACATGACATGCACACATTTCTATTTAATTTAAACGATACAGCCGATTTCAACTTCGGCCAAGATGGCGGGTGACGTACTTTGTCTATTTATATATATGGGTCCAGTGTTTCAGTTATATCACTATCCTGCTTCAGGGGCCTGTGCTCCAATCATCAAAAGGCATCTGTTCATCGCTAGACTGACTGATCAGTATAGCAATTATTACCAAGAAATATTTAAAGGTTTTAGGAATTCTGCTCCAGAAACGAGTACTAGCCTTATTTCAGTATAAGTCTAACTTGTCTCCATGAAACTATATATTAAGATAATAAGAATCCGAAATCGTCAAAAGGTACCAGTTAACCACTAGACTGATCTCTTTCGCAAGTTTCAAAACGAAATATTAAACTGTATAGTTCTGGTTCAGAAATGGAAAGCAGACAACGGAAATTCTGATCCCTTTTCAAACTGGGGTATACAAAATGTTCTCTTTAGAAGGCATACCAGGCTCGGTGTTGAAATTTTGTGTTAAGTAAACTTAACTGTTGTGTATTGCAACAATGTGTCTCAATTACTTTCGGGGGCAAAGTATTTTTTTGGTGTGTGTAGGGGGTGGGGGTGGGGGACATCCCAGCTTGCGACATTTGTCTTGGCCTTATACATTGCTGTATCTAAACCAGACTGTACATGTGCGTCCCTTCTCCTACTCGTCCTTTGGATATTAATTCTTTTACCAATTTAGAATAACTTCAAATATGATGTCACTGTGCCTTGTCTCGTTATATGATGTTGTTTTTGTTCCAGATGAAGAAAACAATCTGATCCAAGAAAATCCGGGTATAGGTATTTCCGTTCATAATAGTCATTGCCGTACTGTTAACAATAGTAATGTGTATGCATTCTAAGCATTGAACATCTGTGAATGCTTTTGTTGTAATGGCCTGATTTGACCAAGAAACATACGCCTTTTGAAATAATGTAAATATCATGATTATTTTGCTGCAATTAACACTGATTTGACCAAAAAACATACGCCTTTTGAAATAATGTAAATATCATGATATTTTGTTGCAATTAACACTGATTTGACAAAAAAAACATACGCCTTTGGAAATAATGTAAATATGATATTTTGTTGCAATTAACACTTTTGACAGGACGTATCCCTCACAAGAGGGTCCTTTGCAAACAATAATTATTTTACAAATAATTTTAATAAATAAGCAAAAAAGTGTCAGATATTTTAGTTTATTATTTTGTAACCAACATCATACGTATGTTCCTGGACCAAATAAATCGGGGTTTTTTCACAGAATTGGACACGTCAGCTGCGAAATGAATCATTTGGACCCGTTCAGATGCCTTTTTATAAGTAAGTTTATACTCAACTCACTCTATTTAATTGACATCTGACATGACGATACATAATTTGACATATGCTTTTATTTCCGGAAATATGGTTAAAATAACAATATATTATAACAATATTTTACATCAGGTGTTACCGCTACCCATTATTGAAAAATGAATACTGACACTTCTTTTTCCAAATTTCAGTACACATACATATAGTTTTACTACTAGCTACAGAATGTCCAATTCGTTATAAACTAAAGTGTGATGATGACAATATCTGTATCGATGAGTGTGTTCCCGGATTTTTCGGTGAATGCTGCGACACACCTTGTCAGAAAACTTGCGAAGGATTGCGGTGTGAAATCGATCGGAACAGAGGCATCATTAAATGTACAGATGGATGCATTGACGGATATTACGGTAGCCGATGTGTAATTCCATGTCCAGAGAGTTGCCTGCAATGTGATCGGTACACCCACGACAACTGTACCAAGTGTAAGGGCGGCAGATACGGGAAACAATGTCAGAAGGACTGTCTGAGAAAATGTAATGGATTTGCTTGCCATATGTTGGGGGCGTGTTTAGGGACGTGTATGGATGGTCGATTTGGACACAATTGTAATCATAACTGCAGTTCAAGGTTTCTGTCTTGTCGTCAAGACACAGGACAGTGTGTCCAGTGTGCAGATGGATTTTATGGGGATAACTGCGAGCGTCAATGTACAACCTGTATTGCTGACCAAGAACACTACGCATGCAAACCAGGTTGCAAAAGATGTGACGTTACATTGGCAGGTAAGGAACATTATGATCTATGGGAGTATTAGTATACACATAAATCTAAATACATAGTGAATAGTTTTAGAACTGATTTTAATGCTTGATAAAACAAACAATGTATGTCTGTCTCTATCTATATCAATTGTTAACTCTGCTGATCAGGAATTTTGGAAAATTGCAGTGCAAGACATTGGCAAAATCATCAATATACGCTTTTTGACTCAAATAAATACCCTGTAATAACAGCTAGAAAGAACGTACAATTCATTAGAAACAACCTATCTTTAGAGAATCGTATTTAGAATATAATCCATTAATTACATCACATTCCTTGTGTTACAGGTGTGGTTGTGTACCCAGAGCATGATTACTACTGGATGACATTCATAATTGGCTCAATGATAACAGTAGTGTTACTGTTTAGCAGCGTTCCTTTGTTAAGGTGAGGCCCATTACATTGTGGTACGTACATTTCATCCCTTCATCACTAAACATGAATATATTTACGGACCTGTCAAACACAATGTGAACTTGAATAGTCTACTTGATAAGAGTTATGATACAATCAATGACGCCCTTTAATGTTTCATTCAAGAAACTGAACTGGCTCGAATCGTAGTTTTAAAGGTTTCATAATGGAATGTGAGTAGTATTTTTCCCTTTCACCAACCATGGTTAAACTGTGTAGTTTTCCGTTCATATTCATAATGTTAGAGATTTGTTTAAATTTATATTCACATTTTTCATCACTGCGTGTTAGTGTCTAATTTAATGTAATGTAAAATAAAGTAGCGAATACTAGCGATACATTCGTTTGTCTTCAACGGACCTTTGTCCAGGTACGTCATATTCACTTACAGCTGTACGTTGACCTTACAATATCCAATTTGCGTTTTTGTTTAACGTAATCTTTGTATTTACTGACAAGTCGTAGCTGAGGTCAAAGAAAAAGATAGTTTTGACGTGAATAAGCTGTAATATCAAACGCCTTGTATACATTTTTTTCATCATGATAATCCGGGTTAGAATTGGTCTCCATCAACCTATGCTGTCGTACGAGGCGACTTAATGGAACGGGTGGTCAGACTCTATGGCTTGGTTGATTGGGTCATGTACTCTGGCTCTGTGTATCGTTTGTTCATGATATCAATCGCTGGATTATCTGAACCAAATGCGAGTATTTACAGGTCGCCGTCACACAGAACCTATTGAAATAGAGGTCTTGATGTATGATTATTGCATGTCCTATGTCCTAGATATGTCTGTACCAGAAGAAGTTCACAGGGACCTATTGCTGACGAAGAAAGGTATAATAATGCTGACCTTGGCCTAGCTTAATTCTTATGTATTGAAGCCCACAAATAAGTACATGTAGTCATCAATGCTTGATTCAATATAACATGCGTACGTGTGTGAGATCAGAACATAGCCAACGTGCTTCAAGCATTTCAAAGTATGTTGTGACAGATGTTGTTTCCCTCTTGATATTAATTTTATTGTAGTAGTAGTAGTAGTAGTAGTAGTAGTAGTAGTAGTAGTAGTAGTAGTAGTAGTAGTAGTTGTAGTAGCAGTGGAAGTTTCATGCTATATTGTTCTTATTATTATTTATTTATCACTGTGATAAGACTGAGATATTGCTAAAAGCAGTGCAAACCTCCTGATACAACTGTTTCTGAATTTATGGTAGCTCATGATTTCTAATCTGGCGCTGGTTGTCAAGTTACTGATCTAGGCAGTAGGAGAAAAGCTTTATTGAATGTATCCTTTCACGTTGCCTTTGATTTTATGTTACGATTCAGACTGAAAACCTACGTTTAATGTATACACAATATTACTGTACATTCCCTGTCCTCTGTTGCAGATTGAAAATGATGGAATTCCCAGGCTAACAAATCCTTTGAAAGTGACTTCACAGGAATATGTTGTCATTATTTCTATTTCTTGGATTATGAGACAACTGTTACTGACTGGTTTTAGGAACTTCGCAAATAATACTGAGTTGATTAATTTCAATTGTTTTTTATCGTAACAGTAGCTTAATGGTATCTCACATCTAATGTACATTAAAAACGTTTTTATTGGCATTGCCTTCTTCATTACTGAAACATCACTAACATTTACAGGGGCCACAGAATGAGTAGTATCCTTGGTTGGATTTATTCACTGTAGCGGGTGAAGTATTACCATTACTGGTTCGTTGTACTATATTGTCGCTGTGGTAAAAGACCCTCCCGTGGAACAGTGAATAGAGCATCTGCCCGGAGAGCGGAGGCCAGGTGTTTCTATCCTCGGCCGCTTCATACCAAAAGGCGCAAACAGATGATACATTGTACTTGCTGAAACTACTATTACTTACCTGGGACGTTCAACCCCATTTCACCTCACCCCACCGGGACGATCCACAGTTACCTATGCTTGTCGCACGTATTGACACAAATGCATCGGATGGTCAGCTTGGATCTGCGTGTCATCGTGCCCCCAAGGCGTGACCAGGCTGCAGTGAACGTTCCTGTCTGTCGCGTTAAACAACATCCCACTATTTTTCAGTGACTCCAATGTGCAACAACAGCCATGTATTGATATGGGCAAATAGTACCAATATGTTATCAGCACTAACAGGAAAGTATGCATATCGTTTGAACATAGAAGGTATGGTTGTTGAAATTAATTAATTCATCATGAATAAGTGTTAACACTGCGACACGAACAGACAAATTCCTTGTTGCCTTTAATTACTTGCAAAGTCATTAAATATATGCTATCAGTTTCAACAAGGTTTGCAATGAGTGAGTGAGTGACTATGGTTTTACGGCGCGCTTAGTAATATTTCACCAATATGACGTCGGGGAACATAAAAAAATAGGTTCACACGTTGTACACAAGGGGGAATGGAACCCGAAAAATTGGCGAAGGCTTTAGCCACCAAACTACACCACCGCCCATGTTATTCAGTACCATGTGCTCTATACAAAATGATGATTGCTTAGTAAGCCAAGCCAGAATGTTAAGAGTGAGTGAGTGTGTATGGTTTTACGCCGTTTAACAATATTCCAGCAATATCACGGTGGGGGACACCAGAACGAGGCTTCAAACATTGTACCAATGTTGAACATCGAACCTGGGTCTTCGGCGTGACGAGCTGACGCTTTAATCACGAGGCTACCCCACCGCCCCCAGAATGTTTTGAGAAGATATAATCATTAGTAAATAAACTTGTATATACTTTCATATAATAACCCTCTGACAAATTATCTGTATACCATATGTTTCTAGTGATTTTGTGACATAGTTTCAAGAAAACAGACAAAAAAAAATGTCAAAAAGCATGTTTATTTGTTTTTCGAATTCAAAGAATAATTTTACAAATATTCCAAGATAATAATTGATGATTTTACATGTGGATCCTCAGATAAATAGTACCACGACACCGAAGCTCACCTGGGTATATGCTGGGTCAATTCACACATTCACAGAGCCAAGTGTGCAGAGAATTTAAGGGCATGGTCGAAACAAATAAATCCCACTGCTTACTCAATATAAACCACATTTCATTACATTTTCAACAAAATTGGCTGAATAATGGCCAAAAATATGCTTCTAATTATGGCTGACGTTGTGGCAATAGGGAAAATCAGATTCGAACCTCTGGAACTGATTGGGGTGTCACCATTGGAAGGAACAATATTTGAATTTCAGCTTCATTGGTCCACTGGTTTCTGAGGAGAAAATCCTTATGACGCACGGATGAACAAACAGGCAAGGACATAATTAAGCTCCTTGACTTTCAGTCAAGTGAGCTAAAATGACACAGCTTAATATTTATTCAACATATGACAAAACATGCCTACAATGGTCAAGCTGTTTGATGAGTTATGACAGCAGTGGTCATAGTCTAGTACTGCACACGTCTTTACAATCACACCAACAAGCATAACATGATAGACCAAGGTAGTAAGTTGTATCATCTATGTCACATAAGGATACGTACTTGGGTACATAATGCAAACTAGATAACAGTGCAAACAGATAGAAGGAAGCAAGCCACATCAAAGATACAACTACGCATACATAAATAATCAAATGCATAAGTAGACAAACAAATGTATTTAGTTTACAATAACGCATTTTCAATTATATCTGGCCAAAAGCCACTTTTTAACTTTGTTAACAATCAGATATCATCCATAAGAGGTTCCCAGTAAACGACTGCTAGATTCAATTGTTGAATTAGTCACTAACACACCCGTAAAGATCCGGATTGGAAATGATCTTTAGCAACCCATGTTTGTCGTACTAGGCGACTAACGGGATCGGGTGGTCAGACTCGCTGACTTGGTTGGTGGTCGCATCTTATCCCAATTGCAAAGATGGATGATCATGCAGTCAATCACTTGATCTGTCATCAGATAGCTGGTATATTGCTGAGTGCGGCATTAAGATACAAACAAACCGCCACTTACACATGTAGGTCAAAGGTAACATTGCCCATCAACACTGGACAGTTACCAACGGCAACCGTCTTCCAGATTATATGCACCTGCAAAGAAACTTACACATTATACATTTTATAACCACTCCTAGAACACTCAAGCTCAGTATCCAAACAAAACTCCAATTATGATGTATCCATGTTCACGAGAGAAACATCTAAGCCATCAACACCAAATTATGTCAACCATCGATTTATCAGGAACTACTTAGAACATCAAATTAGCTATAACTCATTTGCACCACTTGTTCAATCCCTATTTCAACCACCTACATACAACTTGCTTCAATCTCCTTAATATCCTCAAGTTAAATCCTCTCGAGTTTCAACTTGTAATTTACAACTGTAAAAAAACCTCTCCATAAACATATACACGATACAATTACATCAAGGAATATACAAAGAAACAGACTGAAAACGTATGGGTGATGATAAAAGGAAAATGTATAGTGATCTGCAGTCATGCCAACTAACTTGTCATCAGTTACAGCTAACATTTTCCAAATTAATAAAGAACCTTCTTGCCAGGTAAACATTGATTTGGTTTACTCTTGGTACAAGGTCATTGTGTAATGTGCTACTTTTACATTTTGCAGAAATAAGTTCAAAACACAACACGAGTCAGACATAAAGCCACACATTGTCTGATGTCGTATATTTCATCAGCTGAGGGGACACGGGTGGCCAAGTCATCTAAGGGCGCCGCGATTCGCTGTGCAGAGTTGCGTCCCTTGGGCACGCTAGAAACCTAGAATTGTGGGTTCGAATCCCGGTTCGCCCCGATTATGTTTCTAGGTTTGTCAGCAACATACACGTGCTCGTGGGTTTCACCGAACTGGTAAACGTCTGAGATCTGCATCACTTCGGGATTTCCTCCCACATTAAGCTGATACGCCGTGATATAACTGGAATACTGTAAAATGCGGCGTTAAACCCAACTTACTCACTCACTCCATCAGTTGCAATCATATGATTACATCAGTACCTTCTTTTTTGTTATTTGATTAAATACACGTAGTATGTATATTGCTACCGTTCACAGACCAAACGCTTCGATGAGATACAGATCATACAAACAGTCCTACAACGAACCTACTTATTGACACCTTCCTACAGACCCGGGTTAGAAATGGTCTTCAGCAACTATGCTCGCCGTTCGGGACCGACATATGATATTCTGCGAGGGGGTTTGTAATTTTATCAAAATGCTTGAAGAAAATTATTGTGCTTCAGACAGTTGTAAAAAATGAAATTGTCTGCCAAACAAATTACTGTGTTGTAGAAAAAGGTCATAGTTCATCGGTTAAAAAACATTTATAATAAATCGTGTCACTCTTAGTCTTGGATATGACGAATGTTTTATAGCATTGTGTGCTCACACATGCATAGAATAGTTACAATACAACATCCGTGGTGTAATAGATAGAGCGTCGGACGGTAAAGTAGGTCGGTGGTTGGATTCCATGGCCTCGTCATATCAAAAGACGTCAAAGATTGTACTTGCTGTCATCTTGTCCGGACTGGTACAATCACACACTTGCATGAAGGTCGCTAAAATCGTGATCATCACGTTAACCCTCAACTAAGCTCACCTCACGAATGTATCAAACGTCAGCAAATACCTAAAGGAAAACGAGACTAGGCCCATATCTTCTTCTTTGATGTCGCAGTATACATTTTGTGACTCCCATGTCGTTGTGTTTTCATCGCCTTGCCCAACAGAGAAAACGCTTGTATGTTCATCCACATCTTGAGCATCCCAGTATTCAAAATAAAATTTAGAATATAGTAGAATGTCCGAATGTGAGAATACAATTAATTTGTAACTCGAATTCAGGTATCTTTGTTGTAACAAATATGATAAAAACTAAAGATAATTACTGTCCATTTATTGTTAATGTTACTATTTAATTCCAGAACAAGCTGATGTGGATAAATATGTGTAAAATTCAATACAATAAACACGTGTCATCCAAGACGTTTGATACAACATCTTGAGAATGATGTTGAAATCGAAGTGAAAAGTTGCTGTTAATAATTTACTACAAAAAACATACCTCTCTCTCTCTCTCTCTCTCTCTCTCTCTCTCTCTCTCTCTGGCCCAGTCGGCCAGTCGTCTAAGGCGCCACGAGTCGCTGTGCAGAGTTCCGTCCCTTGGGCACGCCAGAAACCTATGATTGTGGGTTCGAATCCCGGTTCGCCCAAATTATGTTACTAGGTTTGTCAGCACCATACCCGTGCTCGTGGGTTTCACCAAAGTGGTAAACGTCTGAGACCTGCATTACTTCTGGCTTTCCTCCCACATTAAGCTGACATGCCGCGATATAATGTGTTCAATGTGTGTGTGTGTGTGTGTGTGTGTGTGTGAGAGAGAGAGAGAGAGAGAGAGAGAGAGAGAGAGAGAGAGAGAGAGAGAGAGAGCAGGGTGTTTAGTTTAGTTGTTTTATACCCCACGATATGTAAGAAGTCGTTTCCCATGCATTGGAAAGATCTGCTTGCGGCGAAGCTTGGTGCAGAGCTAACAAGAAAACAGCGTTATCACTATCCCCCGCCGTGGGGCACATCAGAATTTTGTTTGTTCATATAGTAGT